ATTTTGAAATACATTGATGATACCTTCCTCGTCTTTGGCGCTGCACTCTAAATACGCGCTGGCTCCCATCCGTTTGGCCATTTGCTCTCCTTCCTTCCTAGAGACGCACTTTTTACCATGACCTGTCAACTGTAGCTCATACTTATTATCTCCTCTGAGATCCGCTTTTCAAGTAGCAAGGATAATCGGCGACATGGGACAAAAATGCCTGACTTCTGGGAACCATCTCTGTTCAACGTTCTGGAGACTCATGAAATCTTCCACCGAGAAGCATATGAGAACTACATGCGTATCTGAATACGAAAACCCCTGTAGGTGATCGTATTTATGCCCGCTTGCTTCCCAGAGAGCAAGTTGGACAACCTTTTCCTCCACATTAATGTTCGCAACATAGTTCCCCATGAGGGCACGTAAGTATTCCTTGGTGTAAATTCTATCAGTGCATATAATTTTCTTTAAATTCGACAAGTAGGATATGGAGGAGTACTGACCTTGGGAAAAATAGCCGAGCCGGAAAGTAGCCAAGAGGTATGACTTCCCTATCGTTGTCAATGGGAATAGGTCAAAGAACATTTAGAGCCTATAATCAGGAATAACATACCAACGCCTTCATCACCGACTGCTACTAGCTTTCTCTGCAAAGGCCTAGGCATGTGCTTGTCGTTGAGTTGATACAGAAGTTTAAAGGATACGTTAGAAATTCTGGGTTAGCGTGGTATACATGGAAGAGCAGCTGATCACGGCGAGCCAAAAATGGATGGACGTGGTGGGAGTCAAGTGGGGCGCTTTGAGGAGTGGACAATTTCATTGATACGCGTAAAATTACAATTAGCATTCGAATATATTCATTCGACAATGTTACAGGATAATATTGGAAATTGATACCTAATTCGAATCGAGCGATGTCCATATAGTCGACTTCGTTTAGGCTCAGAATGGTACGCATGGCAGCTTGGTACGATTCCTCCCAGGTCTTTCGGGTCTATGCTCCAGGGCGACCAATAGAGCCTTATGAAAGACCTCGGTGATCCCCTCTCCAGTCATTGAGGTGCACTCCACATATGCTTTAGCCCCAATTCTCTCTGCCATACTAGCGCCCTGCTCCTTCGAGACGAATTCCATCCCGGTCTGTTCCATAACTTCTCTCCTATCTAGCTTGCAACCGACAAGAATGAACGGGGTTCTAGGGGAAAAGTGACAAACCTCCGGCACCCATCTCTGCTCCGTGTGTGTGAGGCTATTTGGATTATCTACAGAGTAGCAAATAGCCAGAACATGACTTTGAGAATACGATAACGGGCGTAGGTCCGTATAGTATTCTTGAGCAGAGGTGTCCCACAGCCATACTCGGTGTTTTTCGCCGTCTAATTCCACGTCCGATATGGTGGTCTGAAAGAAAGAAGGCTTCCATTCCTAAAACCGGAATAAGCCGCTAGCGCCGACGGGTGTAGCCGTGTAGATATGGTTATGAAAGGAATGTCGACAAACAACGTACTTGACAGTGCCAGCCATAGTGAAATGAAAAGAGGAGAGATGTTTTCCCTGATTGATAGAGAAAATCGCGTCAACTATAACGTGTCAACTGTCGAAGCGCTAACCTACCCACACTTTGGTCCCCAACTAGTACCACCTTTGGCTGAAATGGAGAGCTCATGAAGACATATGGTACTGAATTAGTGAGGTGATGTTGTATAGATAGATGTATGAGCGCCCAGGGATGGGTTGTTATTCGGGATAACAAGGGCGGCGGCAAGAGACCCTAGTTGTTTTGTCGAATAACCGGGGCCCGGGGCTTTTGCCGCTATCCTAGTTATCTCTGGGAAATACGAAATGGGATCGTGTTCATAGGGCTTCTCACAAGAATTACACACAAATATAATGATCTATATACTAATGAGCGGTAATTAAGTATGGTTACAGAATGAAACACCCTCGACGTTTCGAAGTCGACGGGGTGGGTGGCCATAAAGCTACTCGTGCAGCCTCGTCAAAGACCAGATTCACTCCCTCACCGGTCTTGGCACTACACTCCATATACTTAATTGCTCCAATATTTCGCGCCATTCGGTTTGCTTCTTCTTCACTGATAAGTTCATCTGACACACTGGCCGGAATGTCCAGAGCCAGTTCCCGCAAATCTTTCTTGCAACCAACGAGAATGACAGGAATCTGAGGAAAGGTACTAACAGCAGCGATCTCCGGGAACCATTTATCTTGTACGTTCGCCAAGGTGTCGCGTCGATTGATAGCAAAGCAGATGAGAATGACTTGGGTGTGGGGATAGATGAGTGGACGTGTACGCGCCTCGTCCATAGAGCCCGTTATAACATCCCATATCCCGAGCTCCATAGACAGGCCGTCTATCCGAACTATCGCAGTCCAATCACCATAGTAAGCAGGGGTATAAGTCTAAGAAAGTCAGCTTTGTGGTTGCTAGA